TAGCCAATCAGATATTTTAAAACGGACAGGACACTCGTGACATCGGGGTAATTTTATTATATTTTGATTGATTTTGAAATGTGTATTGATTTTGTAATATTAAATTTATATTACTGTATGTTTTTTATGTTTCTTGTGTGCAAAAATGTAAAAAAAATATTTCTAAAGTACAGTATCTAGTTACTTTCTAGACGTATTATAATGAAAAACGTTATTATAAATAATATTGAATCACAAATGTAAAAAAAAATTTAAAAAGATTTTTACTAGACGCACTTATGATGTTTTACACCGGATTCTGTTAACCACTTTCCCGACAATGTCGAAATTCCGACAAGTTAGCCCGCATTTGATCAGGGTTAGCGTTAGTTCCGATCAATTTTTGTCAGGATTTTGTTTGTCAGGAAAGCAGTTGTCGAGAAAATGATAGCGACTCATTTTACGCCTATGCATGCATTATCTCAAAAACTGGATAATTGACCTGTGTGAGGTATTCTAAGTAAAAATGTTCTACGCTCTCAAAAACCATTCTCAACCCCAATTCTAACTCCAAATACTAACTTCAACGTGAAAAAATTGGTGCTAAAAATTTTATATACGGTACAAAACTTATAAATACTTAGCATAATAAAAGCATATAAATACTTAGAACATAATAAAACCATATAATAGATGCAAAACCACTATAGGTGCGTTTTATAATAAATGTAAAAAAAATTATAGCCATTTCAATATTAATTCTAACATTTCAATTTCCTGAGGTAAATCGGTGTTTGAACTAAATCTTTTTGCAAGTTCCTCTGATCTTCTTTTTGTTGGTTCATCATTAACAACATCAATTCGTCCTTCATCATCGCCAACTGCACAGCTTGATATACCTATTACATTAGTATTATTTATATTATTTATATAAATCTGATGAATTTGATTATTTCTCGAACTACCTATCAAAAGATCAGATGAAGTTGACAGATTTAAATAATGAGATGATAAATCTAATGGGGAATATTGAGAAGAGCCTTTTAAATAAACAGGCTCTGGGTGAGCTAAATGAATATCTTGATCATCATTTTGATTGTTAAGAGATATATCCTGCTTGAAATAATCTTTTCCAACCAGAAAAGAAAAGGTATTAGGCTTATTGCCATTAAAAAAATTGATTGATAAAATTTCAGATGAAATTAATCGAGATAAACTCTTTGGAGGAGAAAAAAGTTTAATTAATAGCATGTATCCTAGCCATTCTAAAAAAGAAGGTTGTGAATCCAAATTATTATTATTATTATTAACATCGTTGCTAAGAATATTATTATCAATAACATCATTATTGATAATATCAGCATTATTGCAATTTAGTGTTGGCAATTCAACAAATTCATTGGATTTTCCTAGCATGCTGAACTCATCTGTAACGGACTTGTTGTGAGATCGATGAGGATAATGACACTCATAAGAGTTAACATTGGTGATCCATAATTGTAGTTTAATAACCTGGAAAGCATGAATAACAGCAATGTCCTGAGAAAATACCAAAGCATTCAGTAATCCTAAGATACAAAAGGTTAATAATCAAAGAATGATCATATAGCAAGAAAAAAAACTTATGACATATATATACACCTTGAATTGATATGCAAACGAAGCAAAGTAAAAGTAGAGGGATAAGAGATCACACGATTAATATAGGCGTACGTTTCAACGAAAGAGCTAAAAAATTGGGCTACAAATGGCACTACAGGATACCACACGATCCTTCTGACAACCGAAGAAACCACTGTCTTATTAATTAAGCTAGGATGGGCAGATAACTGAGAAATCGAAGAATTCAAAGCATCAATATTCTTTGTCGCAGATCTGAGTTTTCTAATGACCATAATAACAACAACCGCACAGTACAATATGGATGCATCTATCCACCCGTAAAAAGTAACCCATTGCCATATTATATTATGTTTTTGGCCCGAATCACGATACCAACAATGACTAATGAGTATTATAAATATAAATATGTGAAATAAAATATGTTGTAAATTTAACATTAATGAAATGATATGGAATAAAGATGACATAATAAATATACTATATACAGATACATATATGGGTGCCAGTAGAAACCAAGCAATTGGTTTCTAAGTAAATTTTTTTTAAACTTTGAACTAAAATATCTCAACAACTATTAAACCAAACTTGATAAAAATTTTTTTATTTTAATTCTATAGTTGTTGAGATATTTTCACTAAAAACAAATTGCTTGGTTTCTACTGGCACCCCATATATTCCTTACGGAAAGTATTCGTCCCACCTTACATCATCTAAGTTAAAAATAAAATCATGAGTTTTTAATCATTGTTATAACTTTAACAAAACGTGTAGTGATAATTAAAACTCGATATTATTTAACTCAAATAATTAAGATATGGAGAATGCTATTCTGTATAGAGTGCTTACACACTTATCTACACATTATAATAATATATGCATACCCTTCAGGACCATCATAGCCATACATATTAGCGGTTATAGGAAGGGAAGAGAGCAAAAGGGCAAAAGAAAATGCAATTACAAAATAATATTTTTCAAGACTATAACCATTACTACATTCGTTTAAAAATATTATATGAAGGTTCTAAGATAAAAGAAAAAAGACAAATCAAATATATATAGCTATATACAGAAAATATGATTATAATACATACCAAAGCTATACAAACGATGAAAAATGTAGGAAAAATACCATCGCCCAAACCTTATATATAAAAAATCCGAAGTAAATTAAGGCAATTAAAACAAAAAGATATCAAAAAATAGAAGCTATTGAATACCGAAAAGAAAGGAATTGGTGTCTTACCATGTATCCGCAAACAATCTCGGGAATATTATTCCAAATCAAAATCATTAAAAGATGACCAGAATAACATATATCACAAAATAAGACCGCAAAACTTAAACGAAATGAAACCCGATTTGCGAGTTTAGGATAGTATCGTCGTATGAAGCCAAATATTATGCATGAGGTAGTTGAGGAAATAAGAGAAATGATATTCAGAGGAACACATAAGCCAGATATGGCGGCATATTGTTTCTCTGTTACTGGAGTTATAAAAGTCATTAATGATTTTTGAGTAGAGTGTATGTATTGATTTAAAAATATATAAAGCATCATTATAGGTATATATATATATACCGTAGAGCACTGCATTCAGTATTCAGTACTCCTCTAGAATAGTATCCCCCAAATTAAAACCTGTGTACATTCCTGACTTATACCCGGGGATAAATTAGCTTTCGCGACTCATAATGTTCACGACATTTTTTTATTGGTGATTAAAAGCCAATTTAAATATCAGTTTTCTTGTATTTTCGCTATCTCTTTCTGTACACATGTTATAAACTCCTAGAATAGTTTGTACAAGATTCGAATTACTAACAATTCAATTGCATAGGCTTACATTTTATCTTGCATATTGCTTAAAAATAATTAGATTTAAACAACGTTTGGGTTAGTACGTAATAGATTGATAATACGTACATGAATAGTATTTTTCATTACTTACTGTATATAGAATACAAGAATAATGATCGGCGCCCCGTTATGTATACGAATTTAATATTGTGATCTAGTGATTTGATTTGATCATCCAAAATTGATATATAATAATATCTGAGAATAATAATTTTTAATTTTTGAATCTGTATACTTAATATGAGAACGTCTCTAGTTAAACTGACATCTGGATATAACGAACAATTATTTGGTTTTGAAGAGTGTCGATATAGTCAGAGGAACGCGACATTATAATCTGTGCTCGGTTATGCATGATTATGCATGATCTACAAATCAGATTTGAGAATCAGGTGTAACGT